GATGTGCCCGCAACCAATGTACATGCCCTTGACCAGAATCGAACCTGGGGACCCTTCAGTTCACAGACTGATGCTCTATCCACTGAGCCAAACCAGTTTTGGCTATTTAGAGTTCTTATATTGTTGCAAAATGGTAAGCATTTTTAAATTGCTGACTTCTTCATTCATTTTGTTAGTTAGAGTGGAGAACGGTCCTCCATCACTCACTGTTAATGTACATGACTGACTAGAACGCTGGAACAAAAATCAGGCCTGCCTTAGTAATGTGTTTCCCACTTACAAAATTGGAGTGTGGGTACTCTGTTGCTATGGATCTTTTCTATTTAAATGTGCTGAAAGGTTTAAAATGTTCTCTTATTTTTGTAGGACTTCATAATTATGAGCAGTGAATTATCCAGGAAGATAATTAAAAATTATGTGTTAGGATTAATATAGACTAAAAATTGTTGACTATAGTTTAAAAATTTATGTTACCTCTGTAGTGATTAAAACTGCCTGTTTAAATCTTTCTTTTAACAGATGTTTCAGTTACTACTAAAGTAAATATAAATGATTCATAGATTCTGGGAAGATAATGCTAACTACTTAATAAAGCACGATTTTAACCTTAGAGTGAAGTAGCAGCTTAGCATTTGAAATAACCTCAAAGCCTTCTGCTTTGCTGATTGTTTGTTTGCAGGCCTTTCATTATTAAAGACATATGCGATTTAGTTTTAGAGCTTGAGAAAATATTTTATTGTTGAACAATAAAATAGAAAATTTAAAGAGTGATTCAGCTGTCACACTTGAAACCTAGAGGTGCACTTTGAAATTACATATCAGTTATTACAGAAATGAGCTTACTGGAAAAATTTTGCTGTATGCTGCAATAAATAATGGCAGATGTTTGATTTCTTAATCAGTGTCACAATTTCTGATTTTAATATAAATATATGAGATATTGTTGTCCTTGGAAAATATGGGATGAGAATTACTAACCATTTTTATTCTGAAACGTACTATCAGGTATAAAATGGAAAATTGCTGATCTAATAAATATATAGTAGCTCATACAATTCATTGTCAGGTACATCTGCTGCTTTCATATCTCCAATTCATTATTTCACCTTTCCATTTGGATGACATTATTTAATGCTAACCTATTATCTGATACTGAGCCCTTGATCAGTAATGAAACTTTCAATTATAGCATTTCTGTGAAGAAAAATGGACTGCTTTGTGACCTGTTTTAGAGTGCTGTGGAAAATTACTATTATCATTTCAAAGGGCACTTGTACTTGCTTATCTCATTATCACTGCACAGTCTTCTTATCTCAAATTGCATTCTTCTCTCCTCCTAAAAACCTGCAAGGCAAGACATCCTTAAATATTTTAAAGCAATGGACTTGTGTCCCACTCTGTCACCTTTGTCAAATGTTAATTGATTATATAATTGACTATCACTTTTTCTTATTTTTAAAATGAAGGTGTAAAAATAGATCTATAACATTGTTTCAGGTGTATCGCTCCAAAAATTGAGGTGTTTAAGTACATCACCCTGTATGGGTTGTACGCCAATTGTCTTCTGGTCTCACATTGGTCGTAAACAGTTTTTTGTTTTTTAAAAAATATATTTTATTGATTTTTTACAGAGAGGAAGAGAGAGGGATAGAGAGTTAGAAACATCGATGAGAGAGAATCATCAATCAGCTGCCTCTTGCATACCCCCGACTGGGGATGTGCCCACGCCAAGGTACATGCTCTTGACCAGAATCAAACCTGGGACCTTTCAGTCCGCAGGCTGACACTCTATCCACTGAGCCAAACCGGTTTAGGCTATAAACAGTTTTGTAAATTATTTTTATTTGAAATTTTCTTTTCTCATTTTTCTTTCCATTTTTGCTAATCTTAGTCCAGGCCTAGGTCAAATAAGAGCTTGTTATTTCCAGTCTTTTTTCACTTTATTTTATCCCATATTGCTTTATGACTCATCTTCCCTCTAGACCTGTTTCATCAAGTTACTTCTTTTTTTTAAATAAATCTTTATTGTTGAAAGTATTACATATATCCCTCTTTTTCCCCATTGATCCCTTCCATCATCAAGTTACTTCTACTTAGGAAGTGTTGTTGGCTTGCTTCCACATATCATACAAGTTTCTTTTTCTTCTAGTAACTTTCAAATCCCTAGCACAATTTTCTGTTTTAATCATATTGGTGCTCTTAACCTCATCCTATATTTTTTCCATCTGTTTTTACTAAATAACTCTCCTTAATGCCTTTTCCTTTAACCCCTTCTGCCATTCTGAGAGGTTAGTTTGTGAAACTTAATTTGGCCATTTCAGTAGTATATGGTATTCTCTGAGGGTTTGTGTAAACTTTCAACAGTCCCACTGCTCACTAGATAGATGGCATTAATTATAACTTATATGGAAGATTCTGAGGCTAGTGAGCAGTGGGACTGGGATTTGAATTTTGTTTGGGATCTTTTTACTTCTCCTTAAAAAATGGCCAAAGAACCCCAGCAAATACATAAACAGAGTTAATGTCACAGATTTAAGTGCTTAATATAATCTGGCATCTAGCATATATTTGCTAAAGATTTCGATGGACATTTTTCTTAGTTTGAGAGTTCATTTCTCTACTTAATTTATCAAAGGAGCTTGAAGTAGGGAACACTTTCATCTGCTGAGTGTCTTCTTTTTGTTTAGGAACCATGAGGAGATCTTTAATGAAGTCTGTCAAAGGGATAATAGTAAAATATTTATTTTATTTTTTTTACATTAAAGGCTGAAAAAGAGATGGCCTTTGTGTGTATGACAGTGAATAGATATCATTAGGGCTAAGACTGAGCAATTCAAGCAGTGTTGTTAATGAGATTTTGAAGGAAATCATACTAATTGTTGGAAGTTACCTATGCACTTGGATTATCAATGACTGTCAAAGTGAAAATGTTTTTTTTAAGAGTAGTAGCCAGTTTCCTTATAAAAATTGAGGTCACTGTGCATAGCGATTAACCCCATTTCTGTGGCTTCATTCCCCTCTTCTATGTGATTGACTCCCCTGTGCTTAACCCCCATGTAGCTCTCTTTAATCCTGCAAATTCAACTCACTCCTAGATCTTTCCATTGGTGACCTGTCATCTCAAACCTAACATTCATAATTTGCTATGTTATTTAATTGTGTGTTTATGTTATTGTATTGTGTTCACAAACATAAGGTTCTTGTGTGAGGATCATGACTTACGTTCCTCTGAATACCCTGTACTTATTATAGTGATTTGGGTACAATAGGAAACCAAATGCATGTGATTACTTGTGATTACAGTAACTTCAAAAACCCAGGTATTCATCCAGAGTTCAGATATAATTGCAAAGTCTGTAGAACCAGGCAATAACAAGAAGGTTCTGTTTTGTATCTTGTAAAAACAGGAGCATATCTTAGAAAGTTATGTACTCTTTGTAGGAAAAAAAAACAACTTTATCTTTTTGATGAATGACTTAAATATATTTATTTAAAATTAAATCCTTGCTTAGTTTTGGAAGTAATGGATATATGTTTATTACCTTGATTGTGTGATTGTTTCATGGCATATACATATGTCCAAACTCATCAAATTGTGTACATTAAGTATGTTACAGTTCTTTGTATATTAGTTATAAATCAATTAGTGGCCTGGTGCATGAAATTCATGCACATAAAAGGGATTAATTAGAGTAAATATTTTAATATTGCTGTTTGCCCTTTTTCCATAATAGAAGTGTCAGAGATGAAAGAAAATTAGTAAAATGTATATGAAAATCTCCCTCCTGTCAGAGTCTGGGGCATGCTGTAGGACCCAGAGTCAAGTCCCTGCCCACCGTGTATACCTTGAAATTGCACGAGACCCAGACCTGGCTGGCCCCATCTGAGTCAAGACCCGAAGGGTGGGGAGCACAGCCTCAGGTCCCCCAGTCCAGACTCAGGTCCCCCGGCGCTGGGGTGGTGACGTGGCCTCAGGTTCCCCAGCACAGTGGCAGGGTGGGAGGTGCTGCTAGAGGTCCCCAGCCTGGTGCTGGGGCAGGCGGCACTACCTGAGGTCCCCTGTCAAGCTCCACTGGGCAGGGTGCATGTACTGAGGTATCCCGCCCGTCAAGCCCTGCCAGGCAGGGGGTGCAGCCTCAGGTCCCCTGCCCAAGCTCCACGCAGCCTCAGGTCCCTGCTGATCGCTCATTATAGGAATCCCGCCTCTGCTGTGGATGCAGCCATCTTATATTATGGGAACCATACCTCCGCTGTGGGCGAAGCCATCTTGTGAAGGCATGAGGGTTAATTTGCACATTAACTCTTTATAGGATAAAGCTTTTAAAATTCATTTTAGCTGGCAATACAAAATTATAGCACTTATTTTTGCTGTTCATCTCACTTTAAATTGATTTGATTTTCTGTATATTAGGCTTGTTCGCATTTCTCCTTTATCTACACATTATTCTGACCTTTCTCCCCCCACCCCCAATTTTTCTTTTATAATACTTGTGGTTTTTAAAGTGTTTTACTTTATATTAAGGGCATATTTTGTTTTGACATTGTTAATACGGACTTGATTTATTTGTCTTTATATAGGCACTATGTCTAGCACAGTGTCTGGCAAAGAGCTATTTAATGACAGATAACTCCTGAGATATGGAGACCAGTGCTCCTTTTTCATTATGCTGTGTGGACCCTAGCCTACATTCGCATTCTGAATTAAAAACCTTAATGATGATTGACTCTTAAGTTAGCACTTTAACATCTTGATTATGATTTTAAACTTTTGGAAAATATCTCTCATTGAGTAAGAGACTACTAATATATACAAATAGTATATTGATGTTGCTGCACTGTCTAAAATAGGAGTGAATCAGAATTAATATCTTCTGATTCTGTATTTGTCATGACTCTTTGATTAAAGTAATTTTTAATAAAGATAAAATATGTTGTTGTATTTCAAATGCGTTTTTAAAATTTTTTGCTTTCCCTACCCCCTTCTTCTTATTTTTATAAAGTTACCGGGCAGTGACATTGCCAGTGGGAGTGATGTACTTTCTGATGTCATACCCAGTATTCCAAGTTCACCTTGCCTGCTTCCTAAAAAGAAAAACAAGCACAGGAATTTAGATGAACTTCCTTGGAGTGCAATGACAAATGATGAGCAGGTAGAGATTTTGGCATTCTTAATTAAAAGCATGTATGTGGAGACTATGTGAAGTTTTTAAAGCCACAGGGTAAATATGGATTGCATAGTAAATCTGAATTTGAGATATAACTAATTGTTTTCTAGGGAACAAATATAACGTTAAGTGCTTTGATATTTGAAACACACAATAAATGACATACTAGGCAATCAGGTTTTGACGTTGATTTTGTTTATTATAATTTTTCATTACATAGGTGGAATATATTGAGTATCTGAGTCGTAAAGTCAGTACTGAGATGGGTCTTCGGGAGCAACTTGATATTATTAAAATAATTGATCCTTCTGCTCAAATCTCCCCTACAGACAGTGAGTTTATTATTGAACTTAACTGTCTCACAGATGAAAAACTGAAGCAGGTATGTAAAGAAAATAAAGGTTGTTCATTGAAGATACCATTGTTTTATAAGATGTATACTTGAATAATCATATGTGAATACATAGATAATTATGGTAATGTTTGAGAACACATTTTTTTGCAGATTTTTAAAATTGGTTTTCAGGGAGAGAGAAAGGGAGATGGAGAGAGAGAAATATTGATGTGGAAGTGAAACATCTGTCAGCTGTCTCCTGTATAGCCCCTACCAAGGTTCAAGCTTACAACTCAGGCATGTGCCTTGACTGAGAATCGAACCAGCAACCTTTTTGTGTACAGGACAATACCCAACCAACTCAGCTACCCTAGCCAGGGTGAGAACAGGTGGTTTTAAGAGGTTTTAGGTGCATCTCACTTGGCAGGACCTTTCTGGGATCCTGTGGATCTAGAACCTGCTTTTTAATAGTGTAGGCTTTGAAACTTAATTTCACCACATGAGGGGTGATTACACTAAAGTATAGATTTATTCTAACTCATCTTACAAATGACTGATTGATAGAATGAAAATAATGATTATTGAGAGAAATACATGAATGAAATCTGAACTGAAGGATTTGAGTAGTCTTATGGAGTAATTGAGCTTGGCTAGGGTAAAACATAATTTTCCCTTATGCTATTTTGAAATACACATTTCTGGTATCTCCAAATACAGTCTTTACTGCTCTTTTTCGATGGCACATAGCTAAATGAATACTACTTATGTTTTACTTTTTTTCACATTTATCATTTATGAAACATTTCTCTCATTTCAGTATTTCAACAAACATTATAATTTTTCATTAGTATGGTAAATTGATGCCTTGCATTTGAAGGCACCTACTGTGTGCCCCTAGCTAAGATTTATGAAACAACCTAATATTATATATACTTAGCAATTTACTTAAATCATCTTTAGTGCAAATCTTTTTTAAAAAAATCTCATCTGCTCTGCTGCTGTTGCTCAGTGGTTGAGCATTGACCCAGGAACCAAGAAGTCACCAGGTAGATTCCAAGTCAGACCACATGCCTGGGTTATAGGCTCTATCCTCAATAGGGGGCATGCAGGAGGCAGCCTATCAATGATGTTATCTCATCGATGTTTCCATTTCTCGATCCCTGTCCCTTCCTCTCTCTCTAAGAAAACACACATCAATAATAACATTTAAAAAATATCATCTATTTTATTTTACTGTTTCTGTCTCTTGAATGTTATGATCCTAAATTCTGGATGCCAGTAGCCTTCCATTTATTGATTACATATATAGGGTGTCCCAAAATTGTATACAGATTTTTCTGTAGATTCTTTTAAATTTTGAAAATTAACTTATGTTAATAAACACGGACTTTATAATCATTCAAAGTGTGTATGCAATTTTGGGACACCCTTTATTTGATGTGCTTTGAAAATCTAATTCCATAATATGCATTCTAGAATTTTGAACATTGTCAAGAGGTTTCTTTTTGTCCTTATATTACACCTATGTATATCTCTAATACTTTTGACAGTCTTTTAACTTAAGTACACCATACTTTTCTGAGTGTTTTGAGGGTAGAACGTCAAGTAACTACACTAGCTAGTTTTTATCTGTGCATTCCAAGGTCAGAAACTATATTAAGGAACATGGCCCTCGCCAACGACCTGGAAGAGAGGCCTGGAAGAGAAGCAACTTTAGTTGTGCAAGCACCAGTGGAGTGAGCGGTGCCAGTGCCAGCAGCAGCAGTGCCAGTATGGTCAGTTCTGCAAGCAGCAGCGGGTCCAGTGTTGGAAACTCTGCTTCAAACTCCAGTGCCAACATGAGTCGAGCACACAGTGACAGCAACTTGTCTGCAAGTGCAGCAGAGCGGATTCGGGATTCAAAAGTAAAACATCTAATCAATATAAAACTTTCTTTCAATACTAACATTAGTACTCCCTCATGTAAATTTCTTGAAGAGTTAATAGTATCCTGCTATCTAGATGCCTGGGGGTTGTGGAGTTGTGTTGTTTTTTTTGTGTGTGTGTGTGTGTGTTTTTTTGTCTTACGTTCTTCTATTTATACATATGCAGATCTATTTTTTGTACATATCTGGTTCTATCAAAGAATCATACCAAAGCTTTCTATTTGTATTTTCCCCCAAATCTACAGTGATTGCATGAGGAGGTGGGGTTGGCAAGCAGATGGTTCAATTGAACAAAGCCCTCTAGGTTGAGTCCTTTGAAATACTGTTGTGATGCGCAGCCATTAACACTCAAATTTATCTGATTTTTATGTCTCTTTTAAGTAAGATAAATTGATGGAAACAAGGAGTGAACCTCAGGATTGCAATATTGACTATAACTCTATATTGAGTGGGTCTCCCTCTATCACTGTTGTTACTTATCTATTAGCTCCCAAGAATATTCTGCTAAATGTTTTATCTTAGCCCTTTTATTAAAATGTAATAATGCTTTCCTCTAATTTCTTTCTACTGTTTTCACAGTTGAAAAAAATCTGTGTAATATTATTGGGCATATACAAAGTAGGAGATATAAGTATATGTGTGATTCTGTGATGCTTAGGGGAGTTCAGCTCTTACAGTGGTGACAGTCTGGAGCCACCTTAAAGATGATAAGGGAATCTTTATAACTCTTTGGGAACCCAGTGGTGACTAGAAGATACACAGTTATTCCTTCTCTGACTTTTATGAAGTAATAGAAACAGCCAAGTTTGTTGGTTGCCAAGGGATTCCTCTGGATATATGGTCATTCCTTTTTAGCATTAGTTCTCTAGTGATAAGGAATAGAGTATCCAATGGGTTTCTAATGGACTTTTAAGATGGTATTTGCCTCATGTGGAAAATACATGATTCTGTTCCAGTCACGGTAAAATTGCTAGTGCTTTTGGATGAAAGATACCATAACAGCATAAGCATTAGAGATGTTCTCTACTTCTCTACATGTGTTCAGTATTATTCACTATGTGTTCACTCTGCACTGACACCAATGTACCTTAATTTGATTTCTAAATCTTTGAAATAATTGGTTATCCATAACTGGTTAAAATGATCAAGTTTCATCCCCTCCTTATCAGAAGGTTCACTGGTCAAATACATAAAAATAGACTCTTGAAGAAGCATTTTCAAGTTTAAGACAGTGGTTCACTTACTGGAACCAGGATCATATTATACTTCAGAGGAATTTGAACATCTGAAGATAGAAATTGAACATAGAAATTCTGAGAATAAAGAATTTGATCCATGAAATACTTTGAAGTGGATATGCCAGAACTAAATTTTACTGATTTAGAAAATTTTATTTTGACAGAAGCGATCCAAGCAGCGGAAGTTGCAGCAGAAGGCCTTACGCAAGAGGCAGCTGAAAGAGCAGAGGCAGGCTCGGAAGGAGCGGCTCAGTGGGCTCTTTCTTAACGAAGAAGTGCTGTCCTTGAAAGTGACTGAGGAAGACCACGAAGCAGATGTAGATGTTTTGATGTAATAAGGGTGAAGTTATCGGCATTCTTTCCAAGCAATATTTGTTTACATGCATCTTGACCAAGCTTTTGGTTAGGGCTGTGCTGATGTACCATTAATAATTTAGGCCAGTGGTTCTCAGCAGGTGGTCCCTGGATTATGGTCTTCAGCATCACTTGAGAAGTTGTTAGAAATGCATACTATTGGGCCCCATCCCAGACCTAGCAAATCAGAAACTCTGGGGGAGAGGCCCAACATTTTATTGTAACAGGCACCAGGTTATTCTATCCTGCATGCTAGTTTTAAGAACCACTGATTTAGTAAATGTTTTGACTATTTAAACTTTAGGATGGTTAAGTAGGCTTGTGCAAATATTAGTAATTTTAAAGGTTAGAAGATTTCAAAGTACTGCTGACAAGTAGTTTATTATGTCCATATATGTATATGTGTAGAGATCATAATTCAATTTCCTTAAACGTTTTCTAAAGGGCCATAGCATAATTCTCAATTTCTTGTGGAAGTCTTTTTTTTGAGGTTTTGGGGATGTAGTGTGGATTGCTATATACAATAGTGCCTTCATTAGGTTTACTTCATTATTAACCCAAAAGTGTAAGACCAGGCCCTACTATCTTTCCTGTTAAGTTTGTTTTTTCTTTTCACTTTATGTACATTTAGAATTCTTTTTGTAAGTGATGACTACTGAGGAAATAGTGTTACTAACATCTGAATTTTAGACTTGATGCTGTGTTCATTAATATTCAAATGAGAAAGCAATTGAACAAAATAACCCATTCTACTCTTTTACTGCTTTCTAAAGTTTTAGACTGTGAAACTGTCTTAAAGGCAGAAAATATCTCTTAATATCTTTTTGTGGGTCATTTTTTTTTTTCCAGCACAGCTCTAATGTTTAAATATTTGGTACAACAGCTTCTGGCATGTGAACAGGTTAATGTTCAAAAGTAACTAAAGGAAACCCTTACAGTTCTGCTAACCTTCCCTATAAATCTTTAAAATGCACAGAGCAGTGAGATAATAGGAAAAACAAAACAAAAAACCTTAGCTTGTTGGCGGTTAAAATAGAACTAATTTTAGATATGAAATCATAGAGTTTCTTTAATGCTTTTATGGAGAGTTTGTTATGAACATTTGTAGTAGTGTGACTCCTTTTCTTCTACCACACATCTTTAATCATTCATATGGATTAAAGAAGTTGGAAACTGATACTACTGACAATCAAGCTGCTTTCTGATTTTCATAATTTTTATTTTATTGTAGATAACTTTTGAAAGGTAATTGTGATACTATAGGAGTTGCAGTCAATATCTGTAAAACTAGAGTCAGAGGTTGATGGGAATTTCTACTTTTTTTAAACTTATTAATTATACCAAGTAACTTGTTAAGATAAAGATTAATGACTTAAATTCTTAATTTAAAATTCTTAATCTAAATATAAAGGCATAACCTTTGCTTTGAAAATTTGATTTCATTTTGGTTCCTTGAAGGTTAAAGAATTGAAACTGAGGGTAAAAATTGATATATTGCAGCTTTGCTGAAGCCTGTAATTTTTTTGAAGACACGACCATTAAATTCATACGTTAAAATGTTACTAAAATTTAAAAAGTGTATATGTATATATTTTTTATCAGTTGGAATAGTCTCTCTGACTTTCCTCTTACCTCCTCTTTGGTGCTTCTAACCAGATTAGAGGGCCCAGCGAGAGTTTGGGGATAGACCCAAAGAATACTCTGAGGAAGGTGGAAGGGTCAACCTCCTTGTGTTTTCCTTTCCAAGTATAGGGAGAGTAAATGGAGAGAAGAATAAATACAGCTGAATTCTCCATTTGCTCTTAGCAAAAGCAAATTCCAGAGAATGATTGTTCTCTTTATCTACTCTTCAAGGAAAACAGGCCCTTTTTGGAGACCACAGAGCAGAATTTATCTGTTAAATACTTCGAAACAGTTTACTTGACCAGTAAAAGAAAATCCTAAATAGGGTTGTGATGTAATAAGACTAATTCCTCTACTCTCCCAACAATCACATTGTCTTATTACCTTAGATTTAATGTAGGTCACTATTAAACAAGTTTACCAAAGCACCACAAAGCCAATTTTAAAAGTATATAAAGGCTTGAGAGTTTATGGTAAAGTGTGCCATGAAATTTTGTGTAAATCTAGATGAACTCTCTTTGTGGTACTATAAATTAAAGATAACTCATAAAGTTGGTTTGGAGGAGATTGAAATACTTCCTCTGAGTAAAGGAAAAAAGTACAACTTGGGTTTGCTTATGATTAAAGAGGGAGATTACAGTGTTCTCCATCCCCCTTCAAAAAAACCCAGGAGAATAAGACAAAAAGTCTTTGTTAACATGCTATATTCTTGTTCTGTTTTAATGCCTTATGTAGATAAGTTTGAATTACTTCTTTCTTGGAATAAGTAACAATTTATTCAATCTGGTATATCTCTTGAGTTCAATTCAAAAGAAACCCAACTCTTTTTTTTCTTTTTTCTTATAAGCCCTAACTAAGCCTTGTTAATGGAGAACATGATAAAGTCCCCTCAGATTTCCCAGAAACATTTTATTAGAGATCTTTTATGTATGTCAATTAAATCTCAATAAATCAGAAAAAAAAGAGTTATCATAGAAATCTGTCAGTTCCTACCACAGCTTTTTAAAGTATGAATCTTGCCGAAGCCGGTTTGGCTCAGTGGTAGAGCATCGGTCTGTGGACTGAAAGGTCCCAGGTTCGATTCCGGTCAAGGGCATGTACCTTGGTTGTGGGCACATCCCCGGTAGTGGGTATGCAAGAGGCAGCTGGTTGATGTTTCTCTCTCATCGACGTTTCTAGCTCTCTATTTCTCTCCCTTTCTCTCTGTTAAAAATCAATAAAATATATTAAAAATAAATAAATAAATAAAGTATGAATCTTGAGTTAAACTAAATATCATGTTATTTTCTATAGTTTTTCAGCGGAATTAAAGTAAGGTGGTGTAGTTTAAGACATAGTAGAGTGTAAAGGGCTAGTTCATTCTGTCCCAACAAGAACTTAGATTAAAATAATACGTTTTTGCTTTCATAAGACTTGTCTCATTTTTTGTTAGGCTGTGGTGGTTTTGTCCATTTCCTCAGTCCTTGTTATTAAGTTATATTGCTGATGAATTAATCACAGAAACTGACTTATCATTTATGGATTTGGTGGACATCTCATTTTATAATTGTTAAAAGTGCTAAATCCCCTCATAAAGGAAAAATTCAGAGAACCTAAAGTATAAAGGTATTCAGATTCTGATGAGCTTTAAAACTTTTGAAATTTATCAAATGTGTTAATATTTAGGCTAAAAATGTTAATTATTAGTAACTAACAAAAAAAGGAAGTCTTGTTTCCAGATTCTCCAGCAGAGATTTTTGTTCGTGGCTCACTCTATATAGCCTCATGTGCCTTAAAGGTGAACTCTACTTTTTTTATCAATATCAAGCTTTTCCAAACTAAGAAATAATCTAAATGTTGTAATTAATTTTATAAAATATCCATGCTGTTGGATATCAGCAAGCAAAGCCATTAAATTGAACCAATCAATTGGTAATAAAGTGTCTAAAAAATTTCAGATTTTAAATTTAATTTGCCTAACTTTGTTTTGGCCCATCTAGGTCATTGAAGAACATTGAAAGTTATTTAAAGCATGGCTTAATATATTCTTTTATTCACCCCATCCCACCCCCTTAAGAATGTCATAAGCCAGAATACTTTTTAAAACCAGATAATTCTTTAGTATCTGGAAAGATAAATTTTAATTCAAAAGTACTTCTAGAACAGAGATTATATAGCAAGCTTATTCTTTTGTTAACTTTAGGGATTCTTTGCATTTATTTGTGTAATAGCCGTAACATTCCTCTCCCCTTTAACAAATCACCTTTTAGCACTCCTGTCTCTAAGAAAAATCTTTGTTTGGAATTGGGAGTTAAAGTCAGTTTATAGTTTTAGAGGGTTATTAGGAAAATTCTAAGTTGCATTCAAACAGTAGTATCAATAGTAAGCACACTGACATTCGACATGTCTAAACTTAGAGGTAAATTTAATCCTTAAAAGGACTATTAGTTAGAAAATAAGTATTTGTATATACATGGACTGTGGTAATTTTGGACTTAAGTCTGTCAAAGAAGATAAATTTTGTCTTTATAATGAAATTATATTAAATGGGTAAGAAGATCTGAGAGGTATTTAGACGTAGGCATCTCTGTCAGCATAGTATCTGGAACATAATTTACTTATTCCAAAAAGCATAGAAGGAACTCAAATTCCTCTAATTAGCTGGGTATTAAGATTAAGGAAGTTGCATGGTATAGTTGAAGATCTGAGTTGATTCACTAAAATTTTATTTTCATATTTTTTCTAATATTAAAATTATTTTCAGCCCCCCTCACAATTATATTTTAAATTAAGGTTATTGTTTTAACCTAGTTTATATTATGGTAAATTATTTTTTAATTGACATTCATATTGAACTCAGAAAAAACTGGTTTGGTCTCAGATTTTAATACTTTTTAGTACTTTTTAGTACTTTTCTTTATTGTCAAGTTTCGATGTTGCGTCTTTTGTCAATGAAATCAATGGAAATATGAGTTTGGGGTTTTTTTTGTGGTAAGGGATGTGAGTGGAAAAGAAGAGAATTGCTCTAATTATACATAGGCATTTTGACTATATAAAGGTAGTTGTAGACTTAATCTGTATACTGTATTTTCCGGCGTATAAGACGACCCCTAATTTTACAGTTAAAACATAGGTTTAGGCCTATATTTGCTGTATAAGACTACCCCCCACTTCCGAGGCAACACCAGTTCTTTTTTTAATAGACTGCCTCTCTGACTCTGGCCAATCTGAGCAGGATTTTTACTAAAACACAGTGTCGTCTTATACGCCGGAAAATACGGTAAATGACAAGTTTATATTTACATATTTTGAATTGTTCTAAGGAACAGTGGCCTGAAACCATAGCTTGTTTTGTGGAGCTGCTTCTCTTTAATGGTAGTTGACCAGTTGGATTTAAGTTGAAACTTTGGGGGTACGTTATCTAGCTCAGGCTTTTGGGAATAGAGCAGACCAGGTCTATTCCTGTAGTGGATCAATTTAATTTCCTTTTTAAGTACTCTAACTTAGATATAGGTCTTATGCATTCTGAATCTTTGTGTTGGGAGTTTAATAAGACTGTTGTCAAAAGCTATTAAGGATAAACACAAGTATATGTAAAGCATTTCACAGATAGTTAAAATTTTCCCCTTTTTTGGTTTCAAAGGTTAGTTCTAAAGCATCAATATCATAACCAAAGCAAGTAGGAAGTTGACTCGTTTGGAGACTCTTCAAGTAGTCCTAAATGCTGTAATATATCAGATTGTTAACCAGGATTTTTTTCCTGTGTTTCTGCTAAATTTATTATTATATTCATGCACTTTTGTATATAACTGTCTTCTGTACATTCTGTACTACAGTGGACATAAACTTTTCCCCTGAAGCTGTGAGGGAAAAACAATAGGTGTGACACAAGTCATTTCAATTTTGAGTTCTTTCTTGTACTTGAAAGTAGTAGTTCAATATTTAAATCTAAATGAGTATGTATGGTTGTAATTAAAACTGGCAATGTGACAGAATTGTCTTTTGAAACAATATCAGAATGAAAAGGGTTGTTTTGGTTATTAAGAACTTTTTTAATATGTTCATTTTTAATGTCCCATGAGTTTTTACAAATCCCAGTGCTGCTGAATCCACTCCTTGTCATATTCCATCCCAGAACACTTATCAAGAGAGAAGAATTGCTCTCAATTTCTTTTGCTCACAGTTTGGTTAAGGCTTCATAAACTTGTGTTTTGTAAAAGCTTCAATTTCTCAAATTTCACTGGCAAATTATTTTCTTCTGGAGAGATCAGATTTCTATAGAGATTAGCATTCACAGTAATTTAAAATTAGGTCTAACTTTTATTTACAAAAATCAGGTCTATTTTCCTTATATATTGATCTAGAATCTTTTAAAGTTATAATTATATAAAAGAAATGACTGTGAGCAGTTTTATATATAGTTAGAGAAGCAATTCAGCTTTTCAGCAGCAATTTTCTCTCTTGCCACTAGAGGGAGATCTGGCTGCTTGCTCCTTCAGAAAATGTCTTAGCTGCTTTTCTTTTGTTTTTAATTTTAGAGGTTGAAATCAACCTCAGTCTCAAAACTCCTTCTGTGATATTAAATTCTTTCATTTATTAGTCCAAGGTGAATTAATTAAGCTTGTGTAATAGAACCAGTCTTATTCATGCTTTTCCATAATCTTCAGTGTTTAATAAATGTTAGATATTACTTGAAATGTATGTGTTTGTTTTTGTTTGTTTTTTTGGGTTTTATTAGGTATTTTAGAGCTGTGTTCTCCATTATGGTAATTACTAGCTATATGTGGCTATTTAAACGAATTAAAATTTAAAATTTAGTTTTTTGGTTCCGTTAACAGCACTTCAAGTACCAAATAACCACATACAGCAAGAGGCTACCACTATAGAGATACATCATCATACCTCCATCATTAAAGATGGTTTATATAGTTACCTTATTATAATGCAGATTTTGATTCAGTAGGTCAGGGGTCACAGTCTAATCTGTAATTTTAGCAGCTATTCAAATGTTATGAATGCTGCTGATCCATGAACAACATTTTGAGTGGTGAGGGTCAAAGCAAAGTTCAGAAAACTCTATAACACAACAGCCTGGATGCTCTGATGGGCCTCAATCTACTTCCCACCTTCATCTATGAATTTCTTTTTTTTCCCCCCACACTCAAACCAACTCAATACTATATTTATAGTATTGACCTTCAATGTGACCCTCAAGGATTATGGTGATTCAAGCCTTTGTTTAGTCCTCTTCCTTTGGGCATAGGCTGGACCTAGTGATTTACTTCTGTTAGAATGTAGCAAATGTTATGGGATGTCACTTCTGTCATTAAATTACAAAAAACTGTGACAGCTGTCTTGCTTGTACTCTCGTCTTCTCGATTACTCTGACAAAATAAACTGCCATTCTGTGACATTCTCTGTGGAGGACCACTTGGCCAGAAACTGATATGGTATGATAGCCCATGAGGAACTGAATCCTGCCTTTAATTCTAAGTGAGCTAGAAAGTGGATCCTTCACAGGGGAGCTTGTAGATGACTACAATCTGGTGAGAGATCTTGAGCTCAAGCACCCATCTAAATCATGTACAGATTCCTGAACCACAGACACTGAGATAATCAATGTGTATTGCTTCAAACTGCTGAAATTTGGCATACATTGTCATGCAGCAACAGGTAAGTAATACATTATTTACAAAATATACCATGAAATGACTTTCTGTTATATCATTCTCATCAAGCAAAACAAAACTGAGATGCTGCTTCTTCATTCAACATTATTTGCTGGATGCCTGCTCTATGCGAGGCACACTGTGTTAAGTACGAGGGGACACACAGTAAATAAACAGGCATAGCCTTTGCCATCACACAGCCTACATCCTTTGGCATTGGTTTTCAGCGTTTCACAAAGGAGGGAACCAAGATGTGTTTCATTAAAGGAGAGCTATTTTTAATGCCAAGAAAGTAAGAAAAAA